AAGAGAAAATTTCATCAACATAATACATCCAACCCTTGGAGATGCACAGTGTTTCTGGAGTTTTGCACATTGTAGGTTTGAAGTGAACTGCTGTACGCCCATGAACCAAATATGAGATGATCTGCCCCAGGGCACACACTCTGAACATGGCTCCCTCCTACCATAATATATTGTGCCAGTGTGGATTCATAAATTTTCTACAGTAAACCTGAGCGCACAAACACTTTTTTTGTAAAATGTCACTTAAAGCTCCTCTTTTAGTGTTTCAGATAAATGTTTGACTGAGGCTTTTTACTCACCCAGCCCTTTATTTTCTGCACCCACTTATCAGACATGGCCAAACAAAATAATGTGAAAGTGCATGAACTCAGTGTCTGTTAAAGGGATAGTTTGGGGCAATGGTTTTATACATTTTTCATGTCTGACTCATGTCTGTACAATAATTATGAAGCCGCAGCCAGGTAACTTGGGTTGGATTAGCATCAAGACTGGAAACACAAAGGAAACAGCTGGCTCTGGCTCTCAGCTAAGAAACAGTCCAGCACATAACTCCGTGGAAAATGCTAAACTGTTGTCTTTACACTTTGCTATAAAGAAACAAGACGTAACTTGTTAATTTGTGAGCTTTAGAGGAGCTGGTATGTGCCTTTTGATACTGGTCAAAGTCAAGCTAGCGATTTCCCCCTGTTTCCAGGTTTTGTGCTAAGCTAAGCTAAACGACTTCTGATTTTGGCCTTATAATGGTGAAAAAACTTAGAAGAAACCATCTAGACATAGTTTCATTTACCTAAAACTATGTCTAAGTTTTTTCAGCATACTATGACCTGGATGACTGAGAATTTGCATGGATATCTTGGCCTTATAATCTTTTCATTCTACAACTAGGATGCAAAAGCAAATAACTGATGCTATTAAAAGGTCTAACTTGTCCTTTAAAGACAATACAAATGATGTAACTTGTGATGTCTTTTTTTTTTTAAGTGGCTACATTAGTCAAATCTGCTGAAAATCACCTGTTTTGGGTATACAGGCAGGTAGGCACTTAAATGGAGCACAATATGGTTTTATTCTTTAAGTTGTGAAATCAGTAGTTAAATCTAATTAATGACTGTGTTAGAAAAAGCTAGGTCGTTCAAATAAATGGGAAAATAGCTGAGTGGGATTCAAGCCTTATGTATTTTGAGAACTTAACCTTTTAAGATTTGTTGCCAGATTCTGTGGGTGTGAGCACTTACCGTTTGCTTAATATCTGGGATACCGATCCGAAACACCATCATGGCGATGTGGGCATCTTCAGATGGCACAGAGCCGGTATTGCGCTCCTTCAGCCTCCTCTGTTGCTGCTGCTGCTGTATCTGATTGGCTGGCTGTTGGTGTGTGGGTGCGGGGTTGGATGAGTAGGGGTTAGTGGTGTGTCCAGGGTTCCCTGGCCGCATTTGTCTGTCCCCTGTGGGTCGTCCTGCCAGTTTACCTGATTGCCTGTGTCCTTCACCTTTGACCCCCCGTGACAGGCCTCCTCGCCTGACCTCCTCCACTATCTCCTCCTCATCGTCATCCTCTTCCCCCTCTAGCTCACCATTCTCCTCCTCTTCCTCGTCCTCATCACGTTCATCTTCTTCCATTTCCTCCTCCTCTTCCTCCTCCTCTTCCTCTTCATCCTCTGCCCCTGGATAGAGATGTCGAGTGTTTCCCAGCATCCTTTGTTGCTCCTCGTCACTGGACAGGGGGCTGAATGGCATCGTCATGGCGACAAAGAGGGAGGCATCAGTGGCAACACCATCATTCCCATAGAGACACTGCATGTGTGACAGAAGGAAGAGAAGACAAGGACAGAACAAGTTTGTAAGTAAAACATTTCTTCCCCATGTCTGCCTTTTACCACATGACTGTGACAAAGTCTGGTCTCTAAGAAAACAGACTGCTTCGGCGTTAAATGTGCAGGATTTCTAGCCCTCGCCACAGGATGAAATACTGTTCACACCTCATGTACTTCTATACAGTGGCTTCAGGACTTATTCAGACCCCTTCACTTTTTACACACTTTATTGTGATGCACATTTCATTTTACAGTAAATGGATAAAATGAATAAAAACATGTTTAAATAAAACAACTGAAATCTCTCCCTTGGTTTAGTACTTTCTGGTGATAATTACAGATTTAGTTAAGTCTCTACAAGCTTTCCTCACCTGGATTTGGGCAGGTTGTACAAATACCTTTACTAAATACCAAATACTGACTGCGTTTTGAAGCCACTGTAAATAAACCCCCTTGTGGTCTCAGTTTTTAGCTTCCACACTCTTGCCAGTGCTGGTAAACTCACCTACAGACAAGTGAACCTTTAGACAAATTAAACATACCTGAATTTCACTCTGAGGGATCACACTATGGCTGGTAGCATTACACTACAGTGGACTATAATCCTAAGTTACTGTGACAAATACAGAATAGTATGTACACTATCATTAGTACAACTATGTCAAGCCACATTACTGCAGTCTTAACAGCTTGAGAGTAAAACATCAGAAGGAGAAGTGTTCCTCTGTAGATATACAATAAAAGACATCAGACAGCTGATATTTTTGTTGCAGTAGGAACTAAAGATTATAACACCAAAAGGCCGTTCTGTCCATGTTCCCAACGTTTAGCTTTGGAAAACTTTGTTGAAGTTTGTTGTGAAATTTTGCAGTCTAATTAATTCTTGTGTTTTTGATAACCTCTTGACCTTTAGCAACCATCAGGCAAAAATGGTCACTTTGACAAAAGAAATATTAAAATCTATTGGTAAAATTTCCATTAACATCTTTGAACACATTCATAATCCCCAGAAAATTAACTAGTTCCATTTGAGACACTTTAAAGCCCTTTTAGCAACATCTTCAGCCAAAAATGTCAACTTTGCAAATTAATTAAATTAATTAAAATCATACTAAGCAGGTTGTCATGAAATGTTCCCAGCGAGTTAATGCTCCCTGAGGAATATTCATATTTGATCAGTAACCCTAGTGCATAAAACAATGTTTCCTCCAATCATATCAAAATATCTCTTTTAAACAAATAAAATACATATAATACTGTAAATAATTTTTGTTAATGAAATGTCTTTATACAATTTCAATTTTAACTTGAAGCTGTGTTAAAAAGCCAGCTACATTTTCAGTAAACTTACAGACACTCAGCTCTTCATATGACAGCCTATAAACTGTTCTTCCCATCACCACTAAGAGTGCCAAGGGAAGTCACCTCACAGCTTCAGTAATGCAGCGCTGTATTCAAGTACGAACTGAGTAGGATAACAGATCTGTCTCTGGTGGCTTCTGTTTGGCTCTGTGCGCTGTGTTAGGATTTTCAGTGCCGCTACTTCATGGACAGCGCCACACAGAACCAAACAAAGGACAGGAGGGACAAACACTCAGATTCACAGCAGGACTAACCCGTCAACAGAGACAGAGAGCTGTACAAACACCAAGGAGACATCTGATCTGAAAGGAATTAAGTACATTTAGTCAAATATCCTGCAAAAACACAATTTGTCAGCTAGTTCTACTTTACTTTATAAATTCTAATGCACTATATTTGAGCCGATATAGTGAACCTCTTGCTTCACTGTGTCTCAGACTGCTGTATTTATGAGTTATCATGCAGATTCAAATTTTACAAACAGATCTGAATAACTCTTGCACCACAGATCTGAACACAGTGTAAAAGCAAAACTATACAAAACTAAACTTCAACCGATGGCTCCTCATCTAAATGTTCATTTGGAAAAAAAATCAGCATGTTTGTTTCCATTTCATGTCAAGTACATAATAAGGAAATGGTTTTAAACTGTAAATAAATGTGTGTGTGTGTGCATGTGTGTGTGAACATGTGAGATGAGGCAGCTGAGAAACACAAGGGAATTACAGCCATGTTGTGAGGGAAAAATGTGTTAGACATATAATGTCGAGGCCTTACTCATGGGACACTGAGTGAGAGCTGAAACAACCAGCTGTCGTTTATGACAAGAGGAAGGAGGGAGAGAATAAAAACGGGACAGAAGCAACAAGAAGGGAGTGTGAATAATCTGTGACAAAGAATATCTATTTCAGCATGTCATTTAGACTGATATTAAATTTTAGAATTTTACTCTTCTGGAAAACTAAAAACACAGCAAGGAGAGGATATTATTGTACCTTTCTATATTACAAATGATTTTCTTGAATCAAGTATAATTTATTTGACACCAGTGGAGCAATATGTGTCCTAGTCTGTGCTGTTTCAAGGCAATACCTGAAATAAATGATATAAATGAATAAAGAAAATTGGAATTCTTGCCAAAGTGTATTTTATGAAAGCACAACCATTAACCTGAAAGTAGGGCTAAATAGTTTATTTAATTGGGCTTTTTTTTGTCTTTGGCAAATATATGTCAGTTTTCTTTCTTGTGATTCCTCCTCAGTTCTTGCATAAACAAACACCTTGGCTAATGGACTTGGTGTGGAAAAACTCTGGCATGATTTCTGCCTCCAACTTTTCAAAGTCTATTAGCAGGCAAACTTGTGTTCACAGTCATGAAGAAAGGCGAGGATGACAGACTGAGTTTTAACAGGCACAACATCCAGACTGCATCACCCACTAATGTAGACCAGAGGCTCAGAGGACTTGTACACTTGTAACACTTGACAACCAGTGGCAAATGGTAGATTAATCATTATTAGTACTTTGTATTGTATCATTATTACTATATAAATGTGTAAGCAGCATTTTAAATAACTGCATTGTACTCTTTTTGTTGTTATATTCACATCCATATATTTAAATTTATGATCTCATCTTGTGTTTTGCAAGATCTATCTACAGTAGTAAGTAGTAACTACAGTCATAAGTCATACACGTATGTAGTGGAGCAAATACTGCAGCATGTCAAGTGCAAAGTAGCATAAAATAAAGGCATCAAAGATATGTATGCTTAATTACTGTACTTGAGTAAATGTAAACATAAATGAGCATTAACTGGTGCCTAGTTATAAAGCTGTTTCAGCAATACAAACCACACTTTTAAAGCTTTGGAAAAGGTTTTTAAAAAGCCTCACATAATTGTAAATGAAAACTAATGGGGTGTCTTATGTGAAGCTGTTTCTGACGATTTAGTGGAGTGCTGTAGGAATTAAAGTAAACTAATGAAATAGAGCATGCTTGTGGGACTAAATGGGGAGGGGGGCTGGAAACCAAATTGTTAGCGGGAACTGATAAATAAAAGAGACACGGGTGCAGAACAAAAGAACGAGAGGAAGAGAGCACCAAGGTTGTCACATCAACCAGAGAGAGGTTCTTACAGGAGGTATGCTCATAAATGTAAGTGAACAATCCCTAGTTTGGTGCTGAGTAATCAAAGATAGGGGAAGCCAGAGGGGAAGAAGTCAAAGCAGGAGGAAGGGATAAGGCAAGTGAAAGAGAGAGAGAAGAAGCAGCAAAATGATGACAAACTCAAAGAGGGAATAAAATAAGAGTGTAAAGCCCTGGTGCCTCTGTTAGGCACCACTCAGGCAAAGTGTTCCTGGGAGCTACAACTGCTTACACATCTTAAGGCCAGTTCATTTTGTACAGAAGGATCTGTCTGAACCAAATTCTGTCGTCTGTGCACGTCTGTGAAGATACACCCAAAATTTGCAAGCATGCAAATTGCATGCATCACCTGTGTCTGAGCCAGAACAGCAAACTACTGGTTTTCTGTACTTTCCATTACAGTGTGGATACCCGAACTGAGCCTGATGGGACTCATCGGTACCTGAGGGTTTGGACACAAAGGTCAAAATTTTAGGCTAGACAGCTGGAGCACTCAAATGTCTGCTTTATTTAGTTATAAGGAGAAAAGCACAATGCAAACTTACCTGTGCCAGACTCTGGTCAGGTTCAGACATTATATACTATAAGCTTGTTGAGTACAGGTCCGTTTGGACACCACACTTTTTGGCACGAATTGGGTTCGGGCATAAATTTGTGGCCTGATTCAATTATATGTTTATCTTTGGGGTCATAGTTAAAGGTGGTGTTATACTGGACTAGATTATATGTAGAGGTGTTCTTAATATTCTGACCCTCTCATGTATGTAGCTGGGGAGGACAAAAAACATAGAGACACCTCTAGAGCTTCGTAAACATAGATGCTAAGGCAGAAGTGTAACATTGAATTGCATACAATTGTACAGGTGTACTTAATAAAGTGGCCGGTGAGTGTATAGTAAGTCAGACGGATTCATCCTCTGGTGACCACAACATCTGTACACAGTTTTTTGCTAATCCATCTAATAATTGTTGAGCTATCTGAGCCCGAACAGAAGTGGCCACTCACACACCAACTGACAGCTGAAAATGTGAGGGTTTAGCTAAGAGGAGACAAAAGCACAACCCCCACAAGAGATGCCATGCAGATGACACACATGGATGGAGAATAGCAAAAAGGATGAGTGAGAGAAAAGACATCAAAGGATTCAAAAGAATAAAACAATAGAGATATTATGGTGGAAAATAAGGAAAGCAGTGAGGTCAGGAGCTGAATGTGAGAGGTGGCTGTGGAATGATAGGTGTGAACTCACAGTGCTGGATGACTGAGAGCAGAGCGGAGCAGAAGGCAAGAAGATGAAGATGAGGTCATACCATGACACCAATGTCAACACTTTTTGGTTGCCAAAAAGAGTTGGCATTACAAAAAAACTCTTTTTTGTAGAATTAC